GACCCTCAGATTGCGAGTCGAGCGCCTTATCCACCTGGCCATGCTCTAATATTTTCTGCTATTAGTTATTATTATAGCTTTCTAACAGAACTGCATGACTTAATTTAAGAGCTCATAAGGCTTGTTTTTGTTGCAAAATTGGCAACCCTGCCATTCTAGACTAATAAAGTTACAATATTTCCGTGTGAACATGTGTAAAATTGAAACTTGCATAGAATTCGCTTTTGAAGCGCCCGATATAAAACGTGATAGGAAAAAAAAGAAACAAAATATTAAATAGAAAAGTAGGATTTTTCATAGGTTTTCGCGTTTTTAAAAGTTAGTTGTGTTCTCATCTTTACGCAAAAAATTACATTAAAGTAGATAGTTACTAATAAAAGGAAATGTAAGGCTTGGCATTGCGCCTAATTTACTATTCGATATCATAAAGCAAACCAACTATTTAATGATTACATTAAAGATTTCTTTTCCATTTTACCCAAAAAATAAAATTGAAAATATAATCTGTGACGTAGAGACCTAATGCATTTTTTGATTCGCCGCACCATCTGCCGTGGAGTACAGTTTTGGCTATTTAAGGCTCATTAGCACAGTTTGAATCAGCAAACCAAATAAACACAGTTAGACCTCTTATAATAGTGATGTTTATATAATATTTATACTTGATCTGTTATACAGTATCCGATGAATCTTCTTGTTTTTGAAATTCCTACTACCTACACTAAGGTGAATCAAGGAAATGGGATAATGTTACAATTATAACTTCCACATTTGAAATAATAATTATAACTTCCCATAATTTCAGACACTAAAGCTTAAAATCATGCTGTTGCGGGTTTTTAAATGAAATACCTGTTTTTGGTCGGCTACTAAAACTTAGTTATTAGCTATAAATAGCAACAATTTTAGCTAAACTTTCTTGTTTCCCTGACAATATTTCTTATCTAAAAATAGTAGCTTAAAAAATAGATCCCCAAGGCTTGCAATTAAACGCATTAATGAATCGGATGGAACCTTCCTGCCATGGAGAAAAAACTGAAACCACAACTCAGGATTTACAAAAGTCGATGAAACCCAGGCATTTGTCTAAGTCCAATAATCCGTTTAAATGAAAATCGTCTTTGCATAGAGTAATTTCTTTAGTCTTTTTACTATCTGGCCCCGAGTGGTTCAACAGTAAATCTGAGGGCTTATGGTGCTACAAATTGGGTTTTGTTACCAGTGGTAGGTAGATCACAGATAGCCCATTGTGTAGCTTTGTGTTTAACAACAAACAAACATGTATTACAATCTTATTCTAACGTCAGATTGGTTCTGATCTGTAATGACAGTGGAAAAGAAACGCATCTTCTATTTCTTTTCCATAGTTTGATAATCACGTTTCAATAATTATTTTAATAATAATGTATTTAAACTAAAACGATGAAAATGCCCCTCTAACAGCACAAATAACAAACTATATTTTGAGAAACATATCTTCCCCTCTGACAACAAGTAGAGACGGACCCTTCTGTGGCACATGTCTCTGTTTCCACAGTGATAAGGATCAGTTATTATTGGGTCCATCTTTACAGTACTCAATGTTAATTTATATCATTGCCGTACACGTGGACAAATATCGTGAATTTGCTTTCGGATTTAGATGCAGAACTTTAATGTTTTTGAAAAATAAAAAATAATCTTGTTACAAATGTGATCAGGATTCAAGGATTTCTTGCTTTATCATCTTAACAATATACCCACGTAGTGTCACATAAATCTTGAGAAAGCAACAGATGTGTGAAAGGGCATGCGCGAGTCTGTGAAGACGTCATAATTAAAATACACTATCTATTAATATGTGCAGATTTTAGAATCATAATTTTCATTAGGCTTTTCTTACTGTTTCAGCGATCGTTTAACTATTTTAGTTGGTCAACAACAGCGTTTTTATTAATTAAGTAGTTATATTTTAAATTTCAAATTCTAAACGTTTTTCTCCCTGCTGAAAACATAAAGACTCTTAGATGGTGATTATGTATATCCAGCTGAATAATGTGTTATATTATGTTTAAGTCTACAATATCAAGAATATTCAAACGTTAATATTAACAAGCAATGGACTATTTCATACACATGCCCAAACTTCTTAATCACAGACTTTATTGGTACCTTTCCATGTGTATTATTCTCTACTTCTTTTCATTGTTAGAAATAAATAGATTTCTGATGACTTGAAAAGTGTTGGAATAATATCGGTATTATCAATATAACATATATTGTTTATATCCAAGAAACCTCAGCTCCATATTCCAGCACACTAATCGCTTGACTACGTTCAGTCCAAGTAGAAAGAAAACAATAAGAGTAAGATTAAGGAGAAAAGTAAAAGAAAGAATAGAGGAAATATAAAAGCAATATTGGAAAGACAGATAATAGTAAATACAGAAGGATAAAAGTAGCAGGTTTAGAAAGTACGGATAAAAGATAAGGATAGCTTAAGTGTGAATAATCGACAAAATGTTTGGAGGTATAATGAAGGCAAGTTTGCCCTGGTTTAATACGTTATATTTAAAATTAAAATGATTTTTGAACTTCACCACTTCGTTAGATTCCATGTCGCCATGTTCAGTCGTCCAGACTGTGCATCTTGACACTAACCCTATCGCGTAATTTCCATTGCATAAGGCTCCGAAATAAGGCTGCCAGGTCCACAACATACCACTTCTGCCTGTATACTTTCCACAATCCATCTAGAAAAGGATGGTTTCTCAATGCCCGTTTCAACAGTTCAATCACACAGAAATCCGACGACTTGGCTAGTATATCGTCGTGTGAAATAACATAGATACCTGTTGCATTCCACGGATCATTGAGATATCTGACAATTGAACGGGAGGTATGACCAGAACTCTTATCTTGGTGAAACCATACCCACTGATCTCTTTCCAGAAATAGATCCTTCTTGATTATGTTGTGTACTGTTTCCTGGGTAACATGACGGCTTTGGCCATTGTCATTTGTTTTCATGAATTCTCACCTGTTACAAGACGCCGCATTTTGCTTACTACGGGGAGATCTGACTTGATTCAGTTCTCCTTCTGTAAGATCTTGGTGGCCAAGTTTAGCCACATTCCTTTGTTTTCTAGTATCATTACGTCTATCATCTAGTGTATCTAGTATCATCTTGGAAATTTTATATCCCCTATCTGAATATATCTTTATAATTTGAACGTATGAATAGTTTACGTCGAAAATGGCTGTTACATAGCATTCTCAAATGCGATAAATTTTCTATAGCATCACATTACCTAAAAACGCAAAACAATGTAAAAATGTAGTTTTCATACACGCTGTTCCACTGCGACTTTATATTGGCTGTGGTTGCCACGTGACTTTCTGATCTGCGTATTCAAAATCATTTAACATAATTTATTCAACTCTTAACAGTAGCAAGATTAGGACTAATTAACGTAAACACATATGACAAAACGTTACGAATATATTTTATTTATCAATCAACTTCATTCACACAGTTTCAGAAGTAGAATTGTCAACGCTAGCAACATCAATATAGAAACAAAAATAAATGTTCACACAACTTCATGTCATAGTTATTAGTTACTTCCTATTCTTCTGCAGTAACTCAAATTATGCTTAGTATAAAAAAAAGAGCTTTTGTTGGTACTTCACAACATTACAATAGATCTGTCACTTTCAGCTGTCTCAGGGATTTCCCTCTAAGATTTTCAGGCGACTTGCATGACCCCGAAAATGTAGAAGGAAATTCATAGTTGAAAATCCACTTTAAGTGTTGATCACATCGAATTTCGTTGTCTGTGGAGAGAAAAATTCGACAAGTCTAGTAATAAACTTTTTAGTATATTTGTAAAAAAGCACTAATACCTAAGATAATATATGTATTTATATAATATAATGAGCTGGTACTATACATATATAAACTATGAAAAGTATTTAATGTCGAAGACTCTAAGATATCTATCTTATTTTGTTATGTTTAATAATAGTTATTTTTTATCTTGATACAAAATTACGTTTTATAAAATAAAGTTAATGCAAAGTGGGCATTTTCTGGTACAACACAAAATTTTTAATCCAATTATCTTCGGAACTTCCACAGCCATTTGCAAGTATCGTGGTTTAATTAAATTTAGAAAATCGTTACAGCTAAGCTAAACTTAGGAACACTGAAAATAATCAACTCATCAAAAACACAATATCTGTAATTTAGAAATACCAGAATAATGTAATTTAGAAAACAAAAGTGTTAAATGTAGCATAAACATAAAAACAACGAATAAGGCAATTAAATATAAAACTGTTACAGGTAATGTGAGCATAAAAATACCAAAATAATATATTTTAGAAAATAATCCATTACAGGTAATCCAAACACATTAAAATGACTTGATTTCTAAAAATCTGTTAAACCTAAACATGAGAACGCCAGAATAATGTAATTTAGTGAAAAACGACATGTGTAACCTAAACATAGAAACACCGGAATAATGTAATTTAATTGAAAACGATACATGTAATCTAAACATAAAAACACCAGAATAATGTAATTTAATTAAAAACGATACATGTAATCTAAACATAAAAACACCAGAATAATTTAATGCACAAAAAGACGTTACAGATAATCTAAACATAAAACACCAGAATAATGTAATTTAGTGGAAAACGACACATTTAATCTAAACATAAAATACCAGAATAATTTAATGCACAAAAAGACGTTACAGATAATCTAAACATAAAAACACCAGAATAATGTAATTTAGTGGAAAACGACACATTTAATCTAAACATAGAAACAACAGAATAATTTAATGCATGTTACAGATAATCTCAACATAGAAATATCAGAATAATGTACTTTAAAAAAAAGGAAAAGATACAAGCAACCTAAACATGGAAATCCAATAATAATTATTGCTGAGAAGAAATCCAGATGTATGTAACCTATACCTAGAAATATCAAACTAACTGATTTTTGAAAACAAAATTACATGTAACTTCAAAATAGAAACATGAGAATAATTTGATTTAGAAAAATAACAATATAAGTAACTGAAACATAAAAATAGCAGTATAAAAATAACAATATAAGTAACTGAAACATAAAAATAGCAGTATAAAAATAACAATATAAGTAACTGAAACATAAAAATAGCAGTATAAATTAATTTATGATTCTATAGAACTTAAAACGAAATACGTCACTCTTGGTTATATTTATAGAAAACAACAGCTGTGTAAGAAATAGTCTTATTGTCAACCTTGTCAGATTTGGTTTTCACTTTTGTTCAGGACTTGAATCTCATATACGTTTGTATCTTTAGCAGTATAATATATCTCACTAAAAACAGTTTTGTAAATTTAATTCAATTAATTAGGGCTAGAAATTTCAGCTATGAATTTTGATAATTGTTAATAATTTTACCTTCTATAACTAACATAAACAATTGCTTCCATATTGGACTCCAGGTAGATTCATGTAAACAGGTGATTCTGTTGGCTGATAATCTAAGTATATTCAAAGCGGGCATGTCGGAAAAAACGTCATTTTCAAGATGACTCAGTTCATTATAGCTGAAAAGAAAAATCGTTATTTTCAAACTCATATATCTGATTTAACAGAAATGAAATGAAATGACTTACTTGGTACACGCATAGAAAGTAGTGTTCGTTTGACAAAGTGCAATAATCACAAAATGAATATAGAAAACCAACTTCTTAGATCACATGCTGAGGTGACGAAACTACAAGGAACCTATAAGCACGGCCAGCTAAGCCGTAAAAAACACTTCATACAAGGACCCGATGGCTCAGCGGTGGCTTGAGGACTTATATTACTAAAATTGCGGTTATATCGCCGCGATGGGCACAGCACAAATAGCTAGTTATGTAGTTTTGTGCTTAGCACGCAAGTGTAAATTTATTCGAAAAAAACAAACAAAAGACAGTGACACGAATTGTTTCAATAGAAATAACGACGTTTCAGGATCATACATCCTTCTTAGGCTGATAACTTGCTTGACTATAAAAGGTTGAGTACTTTTTAATAAAATGATTTTAGAGCCTTGTCACATTTTTACAGTCCATGTTGCCACGTCTAGTAATACTCTGTCTTATGATAGTGTATCTCGGCAATAGCCTTGCAACGTAATTTCCATTGAAAAAGGCTCCTGTAATGTTTAAAACATACCATTCCCAATGAATTATTTCCATAATCCATCTAGTGTACGAGGGCGAAAGTTTCCCAGTGTTAATTTCACAACCCGATCGCACCATTTTGTCCTCGTTACCAGATGAAGATAATTCATGATTATGTTGAGCATTATTGCCTGGGACACGTGGACAGCTTCTGCCACCGATCTTTGTGTTCGTGAATTTTCATCTCTTAAAAGACGCCGCACTTTGCATACCACAGCTGGAGTACGACTTGTTTCAGGTCTCTTTCCTTGTGTCGAAGTTGATTCATATTCCTTTGTTTTCCAGTGCCAATAAGTTCCAAGAATATTCTTTTATTGGAAATTCCAATTTTTCAATCTAAACACATCTTTACGATCTAAGTGTAGGAATATTTTGCGTCGGAAAGGGTTATTAGATACCCTTCCCAAAAGCGATAAATTTTCGATGGCATCACGTTGCCCACGAACGTCAAACAGTGTCAAAATTAGGTTCTGATACATTCCGTTCCCTTGCAACTTTTTATCAGTTGTGGATGCCATGTGACTTGCTAATCTGCATATTCAATATCATTTTAATATAACGTACTCAACCTTTTTATAGTTTTTTTTTGTTTGTTTTTTAAGGTTACCAGTTTCATAAAATATAACAATGGTACCAAACTTAATGGTTTATCGGCAAAAATCACCATATGTTTCTGAAAACATTAGCTTTAAAAACGCAGCACATGACAAGGTAATTAAGCATATAAAATGCATTCAGAATTATAAAACCTACATTGAATAATATCATAATAGTATGTCAGCTGAAGGATTGTTTGAATTTCGCGCAAAGCTACACGAGGGCTGTCTATGCTAGCCGTCCCTAATTTAGCAATGAAAGAGTAAAGGGCTAATTCTTGGGCTACTATTTTACCAACAAATAGTGGGATTGATCGTAACATTATAACGACTGAAAGGGCGAGCATGTTTGGTGAGACGGGGATTCGAACCCCAGATTGTGAGTCGAGCGCCCTAACCACATGGCCATGCCAGGCCTCTAGAATGCGATTTGCTTGCAACGAAATCGTTATTCTTCTAGAATAAACATGGACTTGTATATTTTACATTGGTATATTGCAATCGAATCAATCACAGCTTCAAGCAAGTGGCAAGTAATTGAAACCCACTACTTTGTGATGTGATCGCCTGAAAATAAAATTTCTGATCTCATAAATCCATTGAGTTTCCTATAACGCATGCTTACAAAATCCATTTCAAATACATTTCTGGCGTAAATATCAGGCCTCTACAGTGGTTTGTCTTTGGATTGCAATGTGTTAGTGTCTTTCCTCAAGTCAAAATTCTCCAATGATTTGTTTTTATTAAATATAATATCTTGATGTCTTACCTCGAGGAAAATGCTCCAAAGTGTTTTCTTTGCATGGTATAATGTTTAATCTTACCTCAAGTCAAGCTTCTCCAACGAATTTCCTTTGGATGGTAACATGTCTCGGTAAAGAGCAGATAGCTTGTTGTGTGATAAGAGCAGCGAATGTAGATCCAACAGTTCAGAAAAGGAATAACTTTCTAAATCTTTGATGTTGTTTTCGCTAAGAGAGAGATATATTAAACGTCGGCAATCCCCAGCAAAGTTTCTATCAATTTTTTCAAGAACATTTTTGTTTAAATTAAGTACAATTAGTTTTGTGAAATGACTGAAGGAAAGTTTTCCAGTACCTGACGGAAAACTATCATGGATGATTATATTTTCAACAGAGTCAGAGTTCGCTTGAAGAAACGGTGAATCCTCTGATGACAACGGATTAATCAAGATACCTTGAAAATAAATATATTTAAAGAATATTCCTTCGAATAAATCTTTTGGTATATTTTTCAGTGTAGATTTCTGAATATTGATTTCATAAACCAGATATTTCTTTAATGCATACTTCAGGAAGGCAATATCTTCATACGAAGAAATACCAGCACAAGATATCCTCAACCCATTCCTATATTCATTACATGAGCAAGGATCAATATCTTCCAAAGGCGGACAGGAATTTGAAAATGAAATAAAGTCGTTGTGTAAAGTCGTGTTTGTTTTTTCTTCTATAGCATCAGAAAAACTAATGGCTTGGTAGAGTAAAAAACCCAACAAAACAGCTGATACCTCAGAGTAACCTTTCATCTTGTTCCTGTAGAGTTTTAAATAAATCAAATACAAATTATTTCTTAAGAAAGCTAGATTTTGCAGTTGAAATTAAAATAGCTTATCAATAATAATATAAAAATTAGGCCTAATTTAATACAAATGTTACATTTAAAAGAGTTTCAGTGAGAACTAACGAAAGTGATATATTTTAGCAAGTGCATAAAATTTATCATGAAAGTAAAAATATCGATCTAATTTTAAACTTAAATCGTTCTTGAATTAAGGTATTTTCTGTTATTACACCAACGTTTTAATATATATATATAAAAAAAACCTCTTTAATCAATGGAGACTCTAAATTAAGAAATGAACAAATATTTTTTTTTCCAGTTTCGTTGTTCATACATTTCACTTTATGCCTTCAGTACGTAAACTAACAATAATATTAAGAACAAAAGAAGTGTGTTACAGGTCAAACCACTAAGGAGTTAATATATATTTTGTTAATATATATAATTGTGGATACAACGTTTCGGGCAATGCGTGCGCGTGGGCAACTTTTTAATAAGGCAGGCTAGCGAAAAAGCCACATAGAAAAGAAAAAGAAATGATGGACAATTTCAGGTTTCTAAGTTCTTTCCTCTTGCAGCTATGGCAGTCACACAATTACAATAAAAATACGGTTTGTAACGTAAAGCAGTCAGATGAAATATTTTTAAAAATGCATTAAGTAATTCATTGTTTGGATGCCCTCACTGTTAAAAGTGTTATTATTGTTCATAATGTTACGACAGCGGAAGTCACGTGACGCTAGTAACACGTGATGAGTATCTAGAAGATTCACGAAGAGACGAGTGTATTCTAGATGTACGCTTTTATGGTATATAAGCCGGCAAATAAAGTGATGGCGAGGATAGAATTGCAGACAGGCAGAGAGAGAGACGGACAATTGAGTCAAGCGGGGTAGTGACCATAAGTAAAGTGCGTGAATCGTTGTGAATTATAGTGTGTGTTGAAGTTAAAGTGACTGTGGAAATTAAGTGTATTGCAAAGTTTTGTTGAGAAAGAATAAACTAGTTTTATTTAAGAAAGGACTTGTATCGCTGAAGTTTCTCGGAAAGAATTTCTACGGAAAATTAACAAACGAACGACCAGAGACGTAACAATAATAACAACAATTCCTCACACTTAATTAACCATAGAAATCTTTAAAAGTCTCAAACATATGTAAAATTAGGCCAAAATTATAGATATACTGAAATCATTATCTGCTTTTTTCTTAAGTAACAACTAAAAATACCTTTTTTTATAAGTAATGCGTTTTGAAAATAAATAATTTATTTTGTGACTTATGCTACTAGTGATAGATTCATTGTCCTATTTTTTGCTTGTTTGTCGTTAAGCGCAAAGATACACAGTGGGCTATTTGTGCTCTGCCTACGATATTGATACGCGATGTTTAGAGTTATTACCCCTAAAACTTACCCTTGAACCACCGGAGGCTTATCCTATATTACTTCACGTTGTATATTTGTTTGTCCGCTAGCTCCACCCACAGTTTTGGAGCTAGCAGGATCAAACTTGGCAAGCGGACTCGGGGTGGCTCGGGGGTTGGGTGATGGTAGCCATATCTATATGGCATAACTCCTTTGCCAAAGAGGTACCAGGGGGGCTAAAACGCACGCGAAAAATCACCTAATCATGATAAGTTAACTCGAATCTGGCATCGAATTTTATATTCCTTGCCCTCCCGTGTATCTCGGGGGCGTCATCTTTGAAATTGTGTTCCTACCCGTACTCGGAAACTAGCGAGACCAATCTTGGCACATGTGTTCAGGTACCACGGTTGAGTGCTCTAACAGAGCTTATTTTGTATATGACCTCCTTGGAGTAGGTATAAGTGTAACTAAGGATAATAGGGTAGCTTGATCGATACGCTGGGGCCTCTGTGAATCACAAGAATCCTTTAATTCCAGAAGAGGAGCACGGCCACTTTATGCTAGTAAATACATTTGCTAGTAAATGTCTTATTTTATATAGAGAGAATGTTAACATAATTTAATAATTAAAAAAGTTGTTTTATGATATAATTGCTTAGTTTTAGTGTATTTGACTAAAAGTATATATTTCTCGGGTGGATTGTTAGTTAACCTGTATATATTTCTCAGGTGGATTGTTATTTAACCTGCATTAATGTGGTAAACAAATTAGTAAAAAAATAATCTTTATATCATAATCTTCGAAACGGATCTTGTTACTTATAGATAACTAATACATTGAAATTGCAAAAACTTTGACCAAACGATTGATATACTCATAACTTGAACAACAGAATAGCATTTGCAAATATTTATGGTATACAATTACAGCCATGGATAACAAATTTAACCATAATACCAAAACTTTTATTTTCTTTTAAACTCGATTGAGAACTATCAGCTTTTAGTTACATCAAACACTATAAACACTATTATCATACGTTCCGTTATAAAATCAACCGTTTAAGAGTTAACTTTCATCATTAAATGAGAATATCAAAACTCAAATTAACGTAAAACGTAACATAATGTTTAGGGACAACGATGAATCTGTTGGCCCAACTCGGTTGTCCCATCCTCTAAACTAAACTATTATAAATTAAAAGAAAAAACTTAAAGCCAGACCTTATACATATGTGTTACTTGGATGCAGTAAATTTAAGTGAATTTAAGAGAAAGCTTGATAACTATATCAATAATAAGATTAATTTAGATTGTGACAAATTATAAAAATTGTGATATGCACTGTATTTACATACAGTATCAAACACTATACAACAGTACTTCTTTTGATATCTTTGTTATTGTATTAATTGTTACATACGTGCAGTTGTCAACTTGTTCTCCTCGATTCTTGCTTGTGAAAGGTAGGTTTTTCTGTCAGCTTTACGTTTATAGCGACGTAAACGGAACTTGCTATTATATCATGTGTTTTCATATCTATAATTTCGTGTCCATTGCTAGTTATATTTGTAGCATGATACGATTATAAAATCATAGACAATTTGTGTCTTATCACCTTATAAATGAAACGTATTTTAGCTGACTGCATTATCATGTGATTTTGAGAAACAGCAGATGTGTAGAAACGTAGTTTATCATTGAAGATTCAGTGAAACATTGATAATAATTAAAATTGCATCTGCAGGTTCTCAGAATTTCAAATTATTGTTTAAGCATTCAAGCTGTATATATATGTATTACTTACGATTTCCATTTTTTATAGAAATAACAAATGACATAAATAAACAGATTGTGATTTGAATGTGTTAGACACACAATTACTGTGACACGAAAGGGTTTGTTGACTAGTATATGTTGGTGCAGAATTACCAAAATTATTAAGTCATGAATGACTCTTATACAAACATGTAACTATGAATAGTAGTTGGTAAACACAATCACGGATTTACTGACTTAAGTGATTTGATAGGGACTGGTATATGGAAGCAAAGAATTACTAACAAACGTAAATTCATAAGTCCCGTATGTTAATGTGTTCTTCAAAAGAGCCGCACTAATCGAATATAATATCTTATAGGAAATCATGCAATTCGTACCTCAATTTTCATTCTCATTCACAATTAATTTCTATTTTGCGTATTTTTTAATCAAAGTATAGGTATATAAGAAAATACGAAAAAAATGCAATGAATTAAAATTTATTGATCTGATTTTTTTATGAAAAAGTTATTTAGAGTGGCTTGTTGCATCGTATTCTTCTGTTTTTCATATAATTGGCGGTACTGAGAAATTGGCGGCTTCTATCTTCATCAGGGTCTGTTTCTAACCATTTTCCCTTAAATTATTCAATAACCGTGAAAAGTTCTTCTAATTCCTTCTTCGTCATCTTCTTATGCTGGCGGGTAGGTAAGATTTTTTCACATTCATCAATGTCTTCATATGCTCTCTGAGTGTCCAAATTTATAAGATCCTTATTGGTTAGTTCTTCTGAATGAGCTTCTAGCAATTCTTGCACATTTTCTTCGTCAATTTCAGTGAAGCCAAGTTCTTTTCCAATATGATTAATCTCTTTAATGACCTCTTCTGTATCTTTTGAAAAGCCTGTGACGTCCTGTACATAGTGTGGAAGAACTGTCTTCCAAACACCTTGCATATTTTTAACTGAAATTTCATTCCATGCTTGATGTATATTATCAATATACTCCTTAATAATGAATTTCTTCCAAAATTGAGCTAGTGTCTTAGAATTCTCTCCAGATGTTGCTTGAATCGCTTGCTTGAAAGTCTTTCTCAGGTAGTATGCTTTAAAGGTCGCGATAACGCCCTGGTCCATTGGTTGCAATAAAGAGGTAGTGTTTGCAGGCAAAAACGTCACTTGGATATTTTTGCACATTGACTCGAGACCAAAAGGATGACCAGGGGCATTATCTG